CTGGAAAATCAGCACAATGGTACCTGGATCTGCCACAGCATGAGAAAATCTGTGTCCTTGTGATGCTGTCATTGCTGTGTTTGGCTAAAGGATAAAATGTTTTCGTAATCCCTTTTACAGGATAGCTTTGACATGTTACAAGAGATGTTGTGGATATTAGGCAGCAGTTTCAGAGAGGTTAAGCCATTTTGTTGAGGCTTGCCTTCCTCACGTCTCACAGTTCATTATGTTTCCAAAGAAGGATTCTGGAGACACACGATGAAATATATCATTGTTTTCGTTTGGCATCTTTCTTCTTTGTAACTGGTGCAATGCATTGCACACATAACAAAGTAGACACTGACCCAAATGCAAACAGTAGAAAAGATGGGGAAATGTACAGTGCAGTATGAATGAACATGAGGTTTTCTTGTTCTCAGTGTTTCATTATAGCCTGAGAAGTCAGCTACTGGGGCTTCAGCCATGAGTCATTCATTAAGCAAGAGCTAGCTATACAGTGCACAAACAAGAGTTCCGTGACTGTGATTTGCTTAAGAAACATATTCACTGAGATCGCTGCTTTTCTTTTTCTTTCCTCTATTCAACGGAATCCTTGCTCTGAACTCCTCACCACATACGTGAGATTTCTATCTCATTAATTAATAATCCAGAATGAAGTCACTTCTATTAAGAGGATGACAATTTTTAATAGCTTTGTAAAATCCATGATGGTAGGCAGAATTGTGGAGAGTTTAGAAACTGGGAAATCTAAAACATGCTTATGAGCCCTCTGGATGTCTTAGCAGCAGTGGTCATATAGTCATATTTTGAATACTTAATGAAATTTACGTAACATTGCAGTATAGAAATGGTTGACATTTATGCAGTGTCTGAGAAGATAAAGAGTTAGCTCACCAGGAAGTGAGCTGGCTGAAAGGTCACATTATTCTCAGGAAAAAAAAAAAAGGGAAAAAAAATAGTAAGAAAGGCTCAAATAAATGTACTTGTCTTGGCCTGTAATTTGTTACTGTTTTGCACTAGACATTATCTAAACTTTGAAGACACGATTTTAAACTAGTCGACATTTATCTTTCCCCTATTTACTGTGGAATCTGTGGCCAAAGTATAAAAGAGGCCTAGCATTGCAAATAGTTTTTTAAAAAAATATGAAAACAAAAGGACCAGTCCAGGCTTAATGAATCATAATTTTAAATTGCTTGATATAAATTTTTAAAGTAAGATCCTAGATTCTGATATTTGGTACTAGAAACTTCTCCTATGTCTACAAATGCAGACCTCAGAGATGGAACATCATAGACTGTGTGTTCAGAATCTTTTTATCTACAACTTTCAAGAAAACGTATAACTGTAGTAGAGTAGTAATATCTCTTTAACCTACTCATAAGACTGTAGAAAGTTGTATATGTAGAAAAAAGAACTTGTCAGACAAATCAGATTTTATCCTTGGAAGAAATGACAAGTTTGATTGATAAAAATGATCTGTATTTAATAAGCTGCGTAAGATTTATAATGACATTATGATTGAAATTAGCACTTTACAGTATCAATAAGACATGCATTAAAATGATTAAGAACTGGCTGGTTGATAGACTACAAACAGTAATTGCTGGTGGAGAACTGCCATGGATTGGTGAGTGTTTCCATGCAGATTTTAGAGCAATCAGTAGAAAATTTGAAAATTGTAACTTCACCATTGTTGGTAATGGAAAAATGTATGGATGGATGATATAGATTAAATCACGATAAAGGCAGTGCAGTCATGCAGTCGCACCTTAGTTGCTTCATAAGCTGGTTTCACTCCAATTTATTTCCTTTAGTTGCGTTCCTGGAGACGAATAAGAGCCGACAGTCTCCGCAGCAGTTGTGGATGGTAGCTAAGAAGTGAGGTCTGGGGTAGGGGGAACAATGTAAGCTGTGAGCTAAGAATAAAACTAGTGTCAATACCCACAAAGACTGTTAGTGAGACTAGTGCTGAAACACTGTATACCCAGTGTGGAGGTCCACATCTTAAAGTGGTTTCAAAAAGTTGAGGAAGATGTAAGATCTCTTTCAATCTAAAAAAAAAAGCTGAAATTCCTTCCATTCTGTCTCAAAAAGATTAAAATAGCACAGATCTGTATCTGCTAAAAGATTAAAATAATAATAATAATAATTGTTTTAGCAGCAATACCAGTGGGAAACATTCCTAAGGGAAGCAGTAAACTCTCCATTGCTCACTTTTTTTTTTTTATGGTCAGAAATGGATACATCCCTGGTATGTGTTTGTATGTGTTCTTGAAATCAATACAGGATAATCTTGAGTCTGTGATATCCAGGAGGTCATAGTGGATAATTTAGATACCCCTTGTGCTAAATTTTGTTCTTTTTAAATTTAATTATTTCAAACATGAAAAGCACTTTGACACTAGGAAAGTTTTCTTTCTTAAAAGATAGTTGGCATAGTACCCAAGAAATGTTTATCTTAAGCACCTTTTTTTGGTATTTTCTTCATTTCTTATGTGCCTTGCTGTCCCAAATTATGTCTGTGCAACCTTAATTTCCAGTCTTTCTAGTTATTTGGCTCTGCTTCACTTAGCTTGGTAACATTCTGTGGAAGCACATCCTCTAAGCTCCTCTTTGCTTTCTGCCAGTGGAATAAATATTTCATTGTCTTTGCGTGTGAACCTGTAGTTATTGAATGAGTTTGACAAATCTGTATTGCCTTTGTACTCAATTATAATCACTAGCTTGGAGCTTATCAATAACAGAATGCAGAGGACACATAAATTAGGCATCTTGAGGACTTTGTGAGGTGCTTAGATGTAAGTATGGTGCTAAACAATAAAGAATTACTACTTTATTGCGGTATCTATTAGCTTTACTAGCTTTGTACCCGGCTCTGTATCACCCTGGATAGCTTAGATCAGTGTCTTTTCATGCTGCAGCTTTCTTTATTCCTATGCTACCCATATCTAAGAAGGAGAGCGAGCAGCTGGGGATACCATCTATGAAAACATGTACCATCTATGAAAACGGAAAAAGAAGCAAGCTATGATGGGGCAGGATATTTCTAGTGCCTCTGCCCATGGCAGTTCATCTCCCAGGGACAGATGCTAATCTTCTGGACTGTTGGTGAGATACAAGAGAGAGACACGAAAAACAGTTTCCAGAAGCAGGGTCAGCACCCAATCTAGTATGACAGTAGTTGGCAGGAGCTCGATGACTTGTCAATATCAGTGTTATGAAAGGCCTAAATGCAATTGTTATTTGTTAGTTTCACTTCAGCCGAAGGAACATCTAAGAAGGTAAATTTCCCTTCATCTGTCCCTTTTGGATGATCGGTATTGCCATGATCTAGGTAAAGGCTTATGTCAGCTTTACTACAAATACTTTTTGTGCCTGTGTTGCTAATCATTTTCTGCTGGATTATCATTACAGCAGATCCCTTGGCTATTGCTATATCTCCATAGATTGCAGGCAATAGCTTTTGAAGAGACAGAAACGTGTATGAATTTCTGTATCTAAGCATGACAGTGGGAAATTACTCTGGATTCTGTCATAGCAGTTCTTGACTATTGTACATCAGAAGGGAAGATTCTTCTGATCAGAAAACAATTCATGGGAGGTGACAGGTTAACATTTATAATATAAATATTTTTAATTTCTCAGATAAAAATGCTTCTGGGTTTAGATGCCTAATGTTTCAAGGAAAAGACAATTTTCCAAGGACATTTTTGTTCAGGTGAAAGGGTTTTTTTCCTACTGAATACAGTTGTGAGAGAAAGTACTTGAACAGCACAGTTAGGGCCCAACCATACATACAAATATAGCTTTGTCTGACCTAGGATAACTGTCAAGGACAGAAGATTATGAATATTTTAGGGGTAAGAGAGCTACACTAGTCTGTCTACAGTACTAAGCAAAGTCTTTGGATATTGAAGGAAAAGGGCAATCAAGGGCATTGAGTTACATGGAAAATTGGATAAAATGTAGTGCTTTAACAAAAGCAGATTGCGTCAGGCTAGAGCAGTATCTTTCTTTGATAAGATAAATGATTTGTTAGGCAAGGTCAAGGTAGCAGATCAAATATATATACGTTTAAGTAAAACATGTGAGATACAATGCCTCATGGGAAAATATTCCAGAGAGACAAAAGGGAATAGAACACATTACAAGATTAATTTCCCCTGTAGGCAGCTTGCGTCATCTTACAAAAGGCTTACATTCAATCCAAGAATTGAGAGAGGTTGTGTGAGGTGTGCCTTGGGCCCTGCTCCTGTGATCATACCTTTAAATGTAACTGGGATATGAAAGCAGTTTTCAGAAGTGGATTTTATAAACAGCTGCAAATTAGGACGGAATTGCCAATGCAGAAGACAATTAGATTACGTTTAGCAAAAAGAGAATCTTGGAGACAACAATAATAGAATGGGAAGAAATTTAATAGTATCAAATATGATCAAGCATCCAGTGACTAAATAAATGAGAACACACTGCAAAACATTCTTGCTTAAGACATTTTCCTCCTTAGCTGATGAGCACATAGTGACAACACCCTGTAAGGGAAGGAGAACTGCTTAGTAGCTGGAGTGAAAAGCAACATGGCTCTGAGCATCTGTAAACAGATGCAATTTTCTCTAGAATTGCTTAGATAAAATACTTAATAGGCATAACGAGATTTATCACTCCTTAGCTTTTTGGGATGTTTTTTGTAATTCCTAGATTTGGCTGTAAGAAAGCACCTCTTGAATAACATGAACTTAGGTATGTTTCCTTTCAGTATCTAAAGGGAAGCTACAGGAAAGAAAGTGACAGACTTTAGCAGGGAATGTGGTGGCAGGACAAAGGAAAATAGTTTCCAACTTAGAGAGAAGAAATTAAGTTGGATATAAGGAAAAAGTCTTTTATGGAGAGGGTGGTGAGGCACTGACTCAGGTTGCCCAGGGAGGTGGTCAGTGCCCCATCTCTGGAGACTTTCAAGGCCAGGTTGGACCAAGGTCTGAGCAACCTGATCTAGCTGTGGATGTTCATTGCAGGGGGGTTGGACTGGATGACCTTTAAAGGTCCCTTCCAACTCTAAGGATTCTCTGATTTTAATCCAGCAAATTATTGACTAAGCAAAGATTTCCATGTTGTGAATTCAGAAGGTGGTATATTTTTGTAGTCTGCTCTATTTCTGAGAATTTATTAATGCAACTCTCCCTGCTTCTGAAATAAAGTGTCTTTAAAATATCTTCAAAAAGTAGTACCGTTTGAAATGCAGAGGCTTTTGTCTCTGTAGTTCAAAGTCTGGATAAATAGACAGGTTCTTCAAAAGACCTTGGCGGTTCTTACTGACTGCTTTTTCCATAATGTTAATTATTTTTAATTCACACTGTGAAGGTCCAACAAATGAGATTTTAAAGGGACTATGTTTTAAAACCTTGATATTAGCTCTCTTTTTTTTTTTGAGACTGAAAGAGACTTGAAATTGAGAGAAATGAAGGACAGAAGAAATTTAGAAACTATTTTAAACTAGTGGAGGCAGTTATTGGAATAAGATGATCCTGTAATGATGAAGTTTTGAAGTGGTAACTTGAAGTTTTGGTGTCCTGTGACAAACAATTTAGTGAACTCATGGTTTCCAAGGTGATGTGCAGGTCTGCCACGTGAAAAAGAATATTTGGTCTGGTTTTCATGTGGTTCACAAAACAGCAAGCTGTGTTGGAAGGTGTATGATCCAAGAAAATACGAGGTCTGCATTCTCCCTGGTCTTTTACTGACTTCATTTGTGATATTTGACAGGCTGCTTATCTTTCTATCTCTCCTCCAGCCTGCTTCCTCCTCCCTTCCCCCACTCCCCCTTTCTTTTTCTAACCTTTAAGATTAGTGGTAAAGACAGTCATCTTAGCAAGAACTTTGAAATCTATGGTTGAAAAATGTGTCACAAAGTTCCTAGCTGTCCTTTCTGACAGGTATTTGCAGAGGAGTTCAAGGACTGGAAAAGAGCAGAAACTGACACGCTCTGCCTAATGTGTCTGCTCTGCATCAGAACATGGCAAGCTGGTGGTGTGTACTGCAACAGCACAGGGCTGTCCCTAGCTGTGTTTGTGAATATCATTTACTGCAGGCATAACCAGAAGTTACATTCTCTCCTTGTATAATTCCATCCTTGATTTTGTTATTTCTAGTCATTTCTCTTGTAGCATCAGGCTGACTGTCATTTGCACTGGCAGTGTGAGCACAGTGCCATGGAAACACGTTCTTCCTCTGCTGTCACTGTGGGACAGTCAGTGAGGTGTTCTGTGAGCCTTGTCAGGTGATTTGACCCAAAGGAGATGGTAACATGGGAAGGGCAAGGAATTTAAGACATGGAACTTTTGATAGCAGACCACTATCTGACCTTACTGTTTTGAAAAACTCCTAGAAAATATGTGATGGTTTCACTGAGGCTTCAGGTGACAGGTCCAACTGCCAGGCGGTGTTCGTGGCTCTTTGTGTGAAGTCATTCTTTTTTGCTCTCTATGGTATGATATTTACCTCCAGTTTAGTTTTGTGTTAAGGTGTAGCAGTAGGTCTCTGTGTGCATGTATGTGTAAGAAACCATGAGGATTAAAATAGATGGAAAATTCAAATATACAGTATTAGTAATAATGTAATTCTGATTTTCTTAATATGGTGCTACCTAAATGCACCACACTCATACTAGACAGTATATTGCAGCCTAAATAGTATAAGTTAAGAAACACTTGCTCAAAATAAAATTAATTTCAAGGAAATTAAATATCCACACAATGGTGGAAAATAAGCCCTCTTTTGCTCATTACAAGTGCTGGTAAGTTTTACTTCATGACACTTATGTGGCCACAGTAAAGCAGCTAAATTATTTGAATTCATCATTCCAATTTTGAGCACTCTTTTAGTGAAGTTTCACTTTTCAGACGGTTGTTGTAGGAAAGGCTTGTGATTCACTTTCCTCTTTCTTGTCATCAGGTGTTCTGCTATGCAAGCTAGATTTGGGAGAGGAGGCTCACCAGATTTAGCCTTCTCCCTATAGTCACTAAGTCCTGATGTCTGGTTGGATGATTAGAAGGTGGCAAAAGCCCTGCGATAGGAAGACAGTCAGAACAAGAACTTCTGTGCATTGACAGAAGTGGGTCTCAAAAACATTACCCAATTTGTATCAGTACATACTGCATGCAGAAGGGATGGACTGGCAATAGTAATTTTCTAACTTTTGAAACAGTAATATTGCAGCTTTGAAAGAAGAGTGAACTATTTTGCTGTGCTGTTGATGCTTAATGGGATACTAATAAGGGATTGCATGCTAAATAACACGAGTGTTCATTTGCACAGTCTGCCCTTCCTTCTTTCTCTTCCACTAGGACTTCTCTTTTTCCTCAGATTTTATCTGATTGACATCATTTTCATGGGTTTTCCCCACTTTATCATTCATCTCCCTCTAGATTAGGAGTTTTGATTCTGTCACTGTTGAACCATTCTAACGCACATTATCAACCTGTTAAATCTTTAGACAGCGTGCTCCTTGTCTGTGTTGCCTCTTACAATGCAGAGTTTCCTCAGAAAAGTACTAGTGATTTAAACTCTAAATATGTAAAGTTACCTAAAATATTTTCTTAAAGCTTTCTGCTCTTAGGCTGCAGTCCCATTTCCTCCATGCTCCGCAACCAAATACTATCCCTAAATGCCCAGATAAGGCACAGTGATTATTAATAATTAATCTTCCTGTACCACAGCCTATTCTCCTGTCAGATAACTGTCTGGAAGTGTCATTCTGTATCTCCCTCTGTCTGCATGGTAATGTGCCTGGCAGATTGTTATCCTCTATGCTATACAGGGTTTGTGTTTGATTCTAATGCAGTGTCGAGCACACTGTAGTCCCTAGTTTGTTACTAAGAGTTCTGAGAAACAGTGTAGAAATAATAAAAATATAAAGCAGGGTTTTGCCCTTATATTGTGAAGGTTTTCCAACACAATATTCATACACACACTGCCATTCATTTTACTCTCTACCCTCTCTACTCTCTACCCTTTACCCTCAAATTTTATAGATAAAACGATTCCTATTCATATGATTTTATTTTGTTCAGTGAGAGCTCAAAATCACTCTACAGAATTTAAAACAACAAAACCCCTGAAAAACCAAACTCATAAGAAATAAGCTACCTTTATTGCTTTTCATTTTGTCTTCCAAATGGCTCTTATTTAGTGTACTTTTATCCAGCGCAAGAAAAATTTCTTCAAAATGAGTTTTCCTTTAGCTTTTGGGTATGAATGCACTGATTTTCCTTCTGCCACTGAATATTATCAGGCCTTGAAACTGGCTGTGATGAATTACAGAATGCTACTGTCAGTCACAGCTGCTGATCTGATTTTATTGGGACTGAAATTGACAATTCCTAGTAGTTATTCTGTTGTTCAGTGGAATATAGTCGATGTCATTGACAGTCTCCTACAGAGGCATATAGGTCTATGGTCTTTAGTCTATTGTAATAAAAATCTGTGCATTCGTTTTCCTCTTTTAGAGGAAGTGATGGTAAATAAACTATTAGAGAAGGTGGATGGCACCATTATGCACAATGGCATTCTTATTATGATGTACTTGTAAAGCTATGTCCTCCAAGGCTTTATCTTTTAAATGGAGTAAAGTTCTTCCTTTGCAAAAAGCAGGACCAAATGCCATCTAGTCCCCGAAGCCTTTCAAAGCATTCTCAATCTGGATAAATACATTTCATTAAAGGGTTAACTAAGTATCTTTGTTTGTGGATATGGAAAGATTGCAAAAATATTACTGAAAACACGGGACCATTCTCACATTTTGATTCTAGGACTTGACATAATTGGTTTAAAAAAAAAAAAAAAAAAAAAAAAGGTTGTGACAACAAATGTAAAAAGTCCAGTTTGTTTCACAGACTTTTGGAGTTCTATTCATATTCCTGTTTTTAAGGAAGACATCACTTGATGATGGGTGTTTGAATACACAAAATCCCCCTTAGGCTATTTGTGCATGTGTGCAGATGTATGTATGCACACCAGGAGCCAGTGCAAAACAGAGATGGTAACTCTGAAAAATTGATTTGTTTGTGAAGTTATACTTTGTGGTATTAAATTTTGGTATCTCTCTAAAGAATAACCATAGTGCTCAGAATTTTTTGCAGTTTTTTGCAACTTTATTTATTAGTTCAGGGCATGTTTACATTCAGAGTTGTAGTACTGAATCAAAGCAATTCTGACATAAATTAGGTTTGTTGAGTGCCCAGTGAACTACGGGAGTCCACTCAAAGATTTGCTCTGCTTTCAATCTGTTTTAAAGTATCACTGTTGAGCCAGTGTAACTTAAAATAAAGGTTGGGTATAAGTTTCCCAGCCTGCTTAATTGGGCAATGCTGAGAACAGGGGAAGAGAGATTTTCTGTATAAGTAATGCCAACAGACCTGTAGTCACATAAAGCAAGCTGCTGGCTAAAAAGAATCACCAAGCTTGTGCAACACAGACCTCTCAGATGGATTGCTTCCCTTTCTTATATCCTGTCTAGGCAGTGCGGTTGGGCAGAGGGCTCTGTTTTGTGCCACTGACAGAGTTGGAAATGTCTCTGAGAACAGGGAAAGAAGAATCTTATTTTCATAATCAGCTGTCAGTCATGTGTGGCGATCGTTATATTATAGTTGCTTTTTTTAAAGTGATGATATAGTTTTGTTACAATAGGTTATGGGATTCAGTTTTATAGCCCTTGCTGGTATTCCATTTTCTCATTGCTCCTTGGATCTTTCTTATTTGAGTAGGCACATGCACAGGAGTTACAGCACTTGCTGCTGAGGTACAGCAGGGTCCTTATCACAATAGTTTCTGTAACAAGTTCCAGGGTTTTGAGCTACTTCAGGATACTTTGGTGTTGTACTGCTCAGTATTGTACCACCTAAATCCAAGTTCCCCAAGTGCATGCTGCAGTAATGAGCTCTGGATTCTGTAACAAACCAGGCTTAGGCACAAGGATTCTCCAGAGTCCAGATGAAAAGCCATGCAAACAGCAGATGAACTAAATGCTGAGGTAGACTGGGGAGCAGAGGTGCCTCCCCTTGTTCAGGTCTCTGCTCTAGCAGATACTCCTAATAGCGAGTCTGTCCCTGCCTGGGGCCTTGAACTGGATATGGTGCTAGTTACCATCTGTAACAATAATGCCCCATCCCCTTAAATCTGAATACCTCATGGGCCAGGGGGCTAGACCATGTCGGGAAGACTTCAGTTCAGATTTACTCTGTGAGATCCAGAGCTGAAGTCTGAAACAGCCAGGATGATGTTATGTTCCGTGGTGGCTATCAATTTATCTTGTCTAATGTTATTAATACTTATTTATTTGGACATGGCCTTGAGCCTCAGTTTCCTTCATAAGGTACACTTGGGGCTTTAGAGTCCATTATTCTTTCTACTTCATTGAGTATTTCATTGCTTACGCAAGATAAAGTCACTGCACTAGGAGTAACAGAGGCATAAGCACCTGAAGGAATTCCCACTTTTTTTTTAAACTGTATGCTCTCGTATAACTTACGTGGCCAGCAAGCTCTGTTGGAATAGGAAAAACCTGCACAATCTTGTCATCTAAGCACATCTAGAGAATTGGAGCAGACTGATGGCATAGGTGGGGGTGATGCTGTGAGTTTTGCTCCAGGATGACAATAGCAGCTGGGTTGCTTGTTTGCTCCCAGGTGGAAATGCAGACACCCAGGGCAGAAATTTAGCACCACAAAATGCAGGTGCTTCTGGGTTCACAGACAAAAACTACTGTGCCTGCTGTTTAGGTTGATAAGTATGTAAGAGCTTGGAAGCTACTTGCTCATTTCATAGAAGTATTACAGTAGGCGGTTTTTCATGCTCTTATAGCAGTTGAATATACTGAAAATGTGCCTTTCAATTCAATGGTATTGTTTCTCTGAGTTTATCCTACAAATTATGCTATAGCTATTATATGAAACGAGATTAGAGGAGTCCTAAGTATATCAGGAGCAAAAAATATATTTTAATTTACTTCTGTACTGCAACTCTTTTGAGAGAATTACTTACATAGAGAAACACAATAATAGGAGGAGTAATTCATGCAAGACGTCTGCGCAAATCAAGTCAGTTTGTACTAAAAGCAGCAAGTAATTGATATCCTTGGGCCACCGAATAAAGACAAAATGGAGAGGAGAAGAAATATTATACTAAGTCTAAGAATTATTGTTAGAATTAGCAACTTTATTCAGGAATCTGCCTGCAAAGTGGAAATTTATGTAATTCCATTTACCCTACTTAGCCACCTGAGGTATTTACTCTAAAATTGCCAGCTATTCTTCAACTTGGGATTGCTCCTCTCTGCTTCCTAATGAGGCATAGTCCACTGCTGAGATGCACTGCTTTCTGTGGGCTGAAATCACAACAAGGATTTCCTGTGTTGAAAAAGCCAGGTTTGTGGGATGCAATATTTTCTAATACAGTGGACCTTTCCCCAAGATTTTAAAGCTTTTTATGTTAGTATTCAGATAGATACAGCATCTGTGCATTTGAGGCTAGACACTGAAAAAAGACGCTTGTGGAGTCAGCAACAAAAGTTGTTCACAGAAAACACATGCAGAAAAAAAACACAGTATTCTGAAAAAAAAAAAAAAAAAATCAACCAGCAGATTTGACTACAGATTAAGCAGATCTTTTGCAGGACTATTTTTAGGTGATCTTAATGACTTAAACATCACAAAAAAATAGGTAAAGCAGTCATGCCTTACTTGTATCTTTAAAGACGTGTAGTAGTGCTTTGCCAACTAACCCCAAAATTAACAGATTTACTACCTATCTGTTCTCTCAACATATTCAATCTCTAAAATTGGACTGTTCCTTCATAACTGAATGCTGCCTCTTCTGATCAGGGAGCTGCTCTCCAGTAGCCAGGGCTTTGGAAAAAAGTAATTATATTGAGCCACTGGGAAGGAGGAGGAGAGAGAGTAGTGTGGGAGATGTTGTGTGGGAACACACAGAGTGGAGAGGACTATTTAGCAGGCTAAGTTCCTTCCTCAGTCACTGTTACACTCAGATTCCTCTAATATTCCTCATTTCACTGCTGAGATTGGGTCTGAGGCAATTTATGTGTATTATCAGGTCACCATTTCAGTCACAAATGTATTAAATGTCTTATAAGACACACCTCAGACACATTCTTTATTCTGTTTATAGCTATTTTTCTTTGCTTCCATGTCTCAGTTTTTAATAAATTAATATAATAATTTAATATTAAAGATAATAACTAGTCTCCTCTTTTTTTACATCCTGGATTATATCCCAAATTCTGCACTTAATATATCACATTGTCATTCAGCATCACTAACAACTCTTACTGTTTCATTCACTTCACTCACTTTCATTTACTTCTTTCATTTTTCTTTTTATCCTAGCCTGTAAATACCTTAAAAATAACTATCATTTCTGACCTCTGTGATCACTAAGCCTGACATTTGTTTTTGCTCTTTGCTTGTCTCCATCAACAGAATGTTATGACTGAATTAAGTCTATGAATTACACTGCAAATCTCTTGTGTGGTACTGAATGCAGGTTTATTTTGTAGGTTAGTTATAATTTACTTTGGCTTTTAGAAAAGCAGGAATTGATGTCACTGCTTGATATCTGTACAAAGAACAGCAGGAAATGTTCAATTTTCTACTCCTACATCTAAACGTTCTCTTTAGTTGTGAACTGAAACATGTTTACTAACCTATTGCTGTTCTGAAAGCAAGCTCCCAGTTGAGAAAAAATTTCTGAGTGCAGTTTGACACTTGGTACAATATGAATAGAGCACTAAGATGTATTTCATTTTTCATTCTAGCTTGGATTTATTAACAGATGTTGCATTTAATATTAGGGGATGAGAGGTTTGTGTGTTAACCAGTTAAAATTTTTTATCTAGTATTATCTATTTAATACATAATGCTATGTTTTTTGACATTCTGATTCTCCTATGAAGAGCATTTAAATACCTCTGCACATCAGAGATAGTATATTAGCTTGGTGGTCGATCTACATCTTCATAAAAAACCTGCGTTGTTAAAACTGGAGGTGATTGGTTACAACACTGCAGAATGATGCTATTTATTCACTCTGTTCTGAAGTTCACGGGACAGATGTCTTTTGCACCTACCATAGGAATGGAAGCTTATTCCTCCATGTGTGGTAGATGATACTGTAGTTATAGACATGCCATCATGTTACGGTGTCAGGACACAGAACCCCTAGGAAGCTTGAAAGAAAAATTTATCTTCAAGAAAGTAATCTCAACCTGGTTGGTAAATGTTACTAGGCCAACATTGGTGATGGTTGTTTGTCTCAGGTTGGCAGTGTTTTCTGCTTCACAAAAATATGGAAAATAAACAGGCAGAGGAAGATGTCACTAAATCTAGCCTAAGACAAAGATGTCTGAAGATGATGCACTATAGGTATATCACCCGACAGGAAAACAACTTCACAGTGATAGAGGAAACTTAAAAAAGAAAAAAAAACAAAAAAATTACCTCAGAAATCCAACCTTCTAAATATCTGACATACACATACGACAAATTTATTAAATAAAAACCCCAAACAAATGAAAAACAACTCAACCGATCTTAGTGCGCTCTTAATAAATCTTAATTTAAGGTCACAGATACGTGTTAGGCTCTTCTAATAGCAAAGGACAACATTTGAATCTCTGTGAGAGCTATGCAAGAATGTTTTCTAACTCTGCATTGATGTTAATGAGTTTACTTTAGGATTCTGGATTAGCTTTAGGTATGAAAGGGACTGGGATATGTGGTTCTAATAGTGTTCTTTATAGAAACATTTGGAAGTCTTCAACTAGCATTTTGCTAGTTGCTATGTATAGACTGAATAAGAAAGAGACATAGAAATATAGCCAAGATAGAAAGATGAACAAAAGTTTTCTAGCAGTTGGGATTGTGACTGATGCATTCTGAATGCTCTTAAACACTCTACTGACCATATTAGTTTCCATGGTATGTATTTCTCTGGCAATTATGATTCAGACTGTCTGGTATCTGGAGGAATTTGGATCATCTTGAGCTCTCTGGTACTGACACTGGCAGAGTTGTTTCTTACAGAGATCCTAGTACAATATGCTGCATGACTTCAGTTTGAATTGTACTAGCAAAAAATGAAAATCCCTCTGAAGTTTGTAAAAATACATTAGGCTTACAGTTCTGTAACCAAAAGCTGAATTTTGCTCAAAAGCTACAGCTCAACTGCTTTATACCTTTCTCTGTCAACAAATACCGAAAGATGTTATTTGTGATAGGATTTCCTGCCAGTTAGTTGACAATGGATCAGAATATACCCTTGGTATTACTTATGCCTTTCCTCCACGAGACCATGCACAACTTACTAATACTGTAATTCCAGTGCTCATCAGACTCTTCTGCATAATGTGAAGAAGCAGATGCTATCAAAGCCTGATGGAATCAGATGGAGACCAGAAAAATGCCATAATAGCCCAAACCACTGTGGTGTGGATTAGAGCTGGGGGGCGTATGTGGAATGGAAGTGAAAGCACTGAGTAATGCCTTTCCTTTATGTTCGGAAACTGCCCTTATCTGTAAGCAGTGGTGCAACACAAGCACAATAGGCACTGAGCCTGCTGCTGGGCACTGCATGTGGCCACTGTAAGTCAGAAAGGTTCAAATTTGTGAATGTAAAGACTTCATTTAGCAGCAAGGAAGGCTTCAACTCCATCTCTGGGGTGTTTATATTGTTCTCAAGATAGACAGCTATGCATAAGGCTGGTATGACAGTGGACTATTGGACACTGCTGACTTGTGGCCTATGAACTTAAAAGGAATTTTGGTTTGGCAGAAATTCAATGTATTCCACTTTGGTATTTGATGTGTTTTTTGACAGAAGTAATGCTGTAGGTGTTTTTTTTGTTTGTTTTTTTTGTTGTTTTTTTTTTTTTTTTTAATAATAGAGTTAAAAGTTAACAAAATAAAGATAACTTTGTGAAATACAGATCAACAGGCACAAAGCACATGGCTGTATCACATGGATTCTAAGATTTGTTCAAATCTAGGGATGTTAGTTAAGAGGTAGGGCTTGAATCTATTAAATGAATCTATGAAGTCTCTAAATGGCAGCGTGATATCTGAAATAAATGAGACTATCTAAGAACAGCATTCTGGACAAGCTTCAAATTTTTTAAAGTTGTCAACTGTTAAAGTCAAAATATTGTTAATATTTTTAGTTATCTGAACAGTGCAAGAAGATGCATTTTAGTCCCATTTTTACCAGTTGTAAATAGGACTATAGAAAAACTCAGATTACTGCAAAGGAAAATGATATCACCTGATATGTGCATTTTTTTCACTTTAGCTCTTTATTTCTCAGATAACCATATGTTCTCATCTGAGTGTTCCAAGAATAACCAAAGTTGGCACTCCAGCTGCAGAAATCAGTGAATCGTTCCCTTCAGAAAACATACACCTCAGTTTCTCCTTCTTGTAGTGGAAAAGAGGGAGAAAGGTGTAACAACCCATGGAAAGGATAAAAGACTTAACATGATTTTGTAAATGTTACATCAAATAGTTATCATTATAGGGGAATCTATATATTTTTAGCTACTCTAAGATGGTTCTTTGCATAATGTTAAAATGTAGCTTGTATTTGTAGCAAATAGCAATAGAAAAATCTAGATATTGTAATGTTAGCAAGTGTGGATATTGTGGAAAAGACAGATGCTATTAGAATTCATCTCAGTGGGAAGTCCTGTGAAACCATCAAGCTTCCTGTGCACAAGTAGGTCAAGGAAGACACTTCCAAAATTTGTACTTTTTACTTGTAAATAGGAATTTTTCCCTCATTTTCATGTCCAAAAGGCCACTTTAAACTTGACCTCAAGCTTATGAGTGGTTTTCTTTGACCTCTATTTAGAATCCCTCCAGCTAGGAAATTGCCTTTTGTTGTCACTTAAAATATATTTCACTCTTGATGTTGCTCAGCATTCTAAAAGAGCTTTCATACCAATTATTGAGGTACAGTGCAATCTTGATGTTGCTGATATCAGTGTCAATTTTTTCCCCTATTCTGATGAGATTTTCTTCCAACCGTTTTATTGTATCAGTTGCTTTCATTGGATTTTCCCTTCTAGTTCTCCTCCAGTTTGCAAAAAACATATTTCTTTTAGACAGCGTAGCATATGTTTGTATACATAGAAACTTTCAGTTCCTCATTTATGCAATGAGTTATATATGCATAATGGTGGCGTTTTAATGTTTTCATCACTCTCATCTGTATGAAGATAATGGCTTTTTTTCTTCCAACTCTGTAGGAACTGCACAAAAGTAGAGTTCTAAAACATGCTTCTTGCACTGTTTCTTCTAAAAAATGAGCTGACTTTTTTCATAGCAAGAACACTTACTCTGCATGCCAGATACAAACTGATGGCATAAGAAATGCTCACTAGCCAGTTTTGCCACTTTCCTCTCTAATGACACCAAATCTGATGAGAAAGTTTTGATGAGAGCTGGAACAATAGCAAAATAGGGATGTCTAATGTTCACAAAATTTTTCCACGTGGTCTATTTTTTCTTCAGTGAAATCATTTGGGAATGTCTTGAAATTAATTTTTTTCTTTTATAGATAAAAAATGGTATAATTTGCTATTCTGATGTGTTCACAGATATAACTGGTAATAAATAGAGTGCTCCAATTTTATTTTATTATCTTTAAATCTTTCCAACACTTAAGAAAAAAAAAAGCAGAATTCTATTGTCAAGTTAATGCTTTGATTCCTTTCATCGTTGTTAAACATTTCTCTTCTCTCCAAACTCTACCAAAACACAAACATTTTTCCATCTCCATCTAATACATTCACAACTTAAATGAAAAGGTAGAAAATTCTTCAATGGTGTGAATCACCTGTGAGTGAAAACCTCCAGGAGCAATTTATTGTTGCTGTGTATGTAGAAATTGACATCTGGGTCAGCAATTTTTACCTTAATTACTATGTATTGTGGTTTATTCAGCTGCAGGAAGGGAATGGTAATATTTACACCAAGGTGATTTTGGAAGAATGAGTATTGTGAAATGTTTCAAGACCTGTTCTGACAGACAGATTTTTGGACTGTGCGTCATAGGGCTTTGGCTTGAAAATTGGGCTGAAAAGCTCAGGCTTGCTTGTATTACAAATGAATAGAAAAGCTCACCTTGTCTTCAATGATGCTGATCATGACCCACGCAGTGTCTGTGAAACTGCACACTGAAACTGTTGTGAAGCCTGGATCAGAAGCCTTAAACTTGCAAATGTCTATCATACACTTAATTAGGTGGTAAAATAGGGGCTTGCTAAGGATTCCTGTTGTAATTTCAGGGAATTTCTTATTAAGTAACTCTTGAATTATTTTCTGAAGTTTACCTCCTAAAATAAGTCATCCTTAAAGAAAAATATCATAAATATTTTGGTGCAGCCTTGGTTTTTATGTCTAAGCAGTATTAACAAAATTAAGACACACAGCAGTAGCATGAAAACAAACTTGCATACTGTCTTGACGTGCATTTCATGGAAGGATTGCTAATTAGTGAAAATGCCAATCATTAGGAAAAGTGACTCACTTTTGGGAGTGTATGATATCTACTGATGCCACATGGCATAGAATCAGTGGCATGGGTACCAGTAATAACCAATTTTCAGAGTTCTTGAGAGGTATTTCAGTGTTCATAATATTGAAAATGTCTCCCATAGAAAAAAATGCACTTCACTGTAACCACAGAAGAGATTGCTTTTAATAGAATGTGTGAATAAAGAAAAAAGATATAGCTAGTGGGGGGGAAAAGAAATATTAGAATTGTAGAATGACTTGAGTTGGAAGCGACCTCAAAGATCATCTAGTTTCAGCCCCACTGCCACAGGCAGGGTTGCCAACCAGCAGATCAAGCACCAGCGCTCTGTCCAACCTGGCCTTGAACATCTCCAGGGACAGGGCATCCATTACCTCTCTAGGCAACCCGTGCCAGCACCTCACCACCCTTGTGAAAGATTTTCCCCTGCCATCTGATCTAAATCATCCCTCCTTTAGTTTAAAACCATTCCCCCTGATCCTATCGCTATCTACTCATGTAGAAAGCTGGTTTCCCTCCTGTTAACAATAATCTTTTAAATACAGAAGGCTGTAATAAGGTCTCCCTTCAGCCTTCTCTTCTCCAGACTGAACAAGTCCAGGTCCCTCAGCCTGTCTTCATAGGAGAGATGCTCCAGCC